TGTTTTTAGAGGAACAATATCAAGCTAATATGACTCATGACTCTAATAAGAATCTGGTAATTCATGCTTGGACTACTTACAAATCAAAAATGCATATAGCAATTGTTTATCTTATCGATGAAAACTAAAAGTATTTTTTGTTAACATGAGTACGTACAACAATATGATTAAATAATAACGGCTACGATATACTCTAAGAAACCCTGTCATGTCATAAAGATATACGCGCACTTTGTCAACTCAGTGCCGGATGTCAACTCGATGTCAACTCGATGTCGGATGTCAACTCGATGTCGGATGTCAACTCGGTGCCGGACCGGATTATAATTATCACAGAGTTACATGCATGATTAGCTTATTTGAAATAACCTCCGAAGCCCTTACTTGATTTATGTACAAAAAATGCTCGTATGACTATTTGAGTCTGTGTCCCAGACGAACAGGTAAAGTTAAAAATCTCGTTTGACGTTTACTCGATTATAATAATTTGAATAAATTGCAAATCATTTATTAATTTACGAAATATTAGAACCTATACGTAGGTAAAAAAAATGCAGTTAAAGCTGAAATTTGATGGATTTGGTCAGAGAAACAAAGGATCTATGTAGCATAAAATTAATATATAAGTCAACAATGATCATTATAGTGCTATTGTGTAATAATGCATTTCCGCGTTTTTAACATATTAATGATTATTGTAATTATTAAAAAGTATCATATCGACATTCAATGACTGACAATTATTTCACGATTAATTAGATTAATTAAAGGATTATCGTTATACGCATACATATGATATATATATGAGTAATTTTATCGTTTTTTTTAAATAATTTGATAAATTTTTTCATTCTGCGTGTCCTTACGATGACGCTATATTAATTTATATTAAAGATGCGGTACAAACAACTATCCTGTAACTTGGGTACGAGCTTATGATAATATTTTGGTCCAATTATATGATTCCGAATTGTTTATTCATTTCTCCCGTTTTTGTTTAAGCATTAATGTATCACAGTACCCGAACATTTACGGAGAGGGTATTTGCTTATTTTATTTTTTTTTGTGTTCATTGCACGACCTTTTAGTTTAACTGCATCTAATCGTAGAAGATACACCGAGGAGATACATACTGTGATTAAAATTACAAAGGGGGAAAAGCGATATTAATTTTAATATTTGAAAGAAATGTATATATGGTTTATTACCACAAATTATATTTTTGCCACACCATGTAAAAAAAAAACTGTTATAAAAACCTGTCAATAGAAAATCATTTCTTCCTCTTTTCTTTTCTCTTTTATTTTATTTATTTATATATATACATACATACATATATACATATATATCTATTTCTTTTTTTTTTTTTTTTTTTTTTGGTCTTTTTTCTCATTTCAAACAAACCTGGGGTTTAACTTGATAATTTCGTTATTAGCAAATTTTTAAGACGATAAAGTTCTCTAAAAGACTTTATATCTCACATTTAAATCGTTTTTTTTTTTTACTTTAATTTATCTTTTCCAATATATATATATCCTTTGGGGGTTTATTTTAATGATAATTTAGTATATAATTGGGTAATTGGAATAAATTTAAAGATATTCGTACGTACAATTTTATAATATGCCTGGAACCGATGTGATAAACGAATTATGTGAAGTGAATGGACAAGAAAGCTCGCAAATAGATGCAGCGAGTTTTCTACCATTAATGCTCCAAGCTCAAGATCTCGTTAGTAAACTTGAAAGTCGAGTATTGGAACTAGAAAGTGACCTTGAGGTGTGTAAAAAATACATTTTTTTTTTTTTTTTTTGTATGTGTGAATGTGTGTGAAATATTGCATATACAAATATTATTACGGAATATTACGAAATATTTTACGAAATATCATAAGAAATATTATACGAAATATATCGTATATATTTATACAAAGTATCATACAAAGTCGGGATCAAAATGACCGATTCGAATTAAAATTCACAAAATTCATTACAAAATTCACCACAAAATTCACCACAATTTTATTGACTTTTTTTTCGATTCAAAATTTAAAATCCACAATTTTCACTACAATTTTCACTACAATTTTCATTACAATTTTCACTACAATTTTCACTATAAAATTCACTACAATTTTTACTACAATTTTATTGACTTTTTTTTTTCGTTATTTAATCATACATAAACCAGAATATAAATGAAATGCATGAACAGGAACGTAATCAATTGCTCCAAGAATTAGGCGAAAAAGATGAATATATTCATGATCTAAAAACAAAAACTAATCGTCTTGAATATGGTGCTCGTGCAGCCATAACTATTCTAGTAAGAGCTGTAGAAATAATTAAAGCTCAAAATCTTAAAGATGATGATAAAGATGATGATAAAGATGATGATAGTAAAGATGATGATGTTAGTAAAGACGATGATGATGATAATGCTACTGCTGTTGAATCTACTGATTTGGAAGGTCAATTCTTGGATAGTATCAATTTATGTTTAAATTATTTAAAATCCGCTCAAAATAATCAAAAATCTCGTAAAAGTTACAAGAGACCTTCATTACCCGTACGACATGATTCAAAACTTCTGTCTTCTAATAACGATTCTGATTATAAAGTTGAATTAGTTATCCCTCAACTTGATCCTGTCTCTGATAATGCTGTAAATAATGTTATTACAAATGCTTCTGTAAATAATAACCGACCAGTTCTCCATAATAATTCTCGAAGAGAATCTATTACTGGTAGTCAAATTTCGCTGGACGATATACCTGATCTTGATGATTATGATTTGGATGGTTCGGAAGATATTGCTGATTTTGATGCTTTTATGTCTGATGATGATAATGACGACTCGACTTCTATCAACAATGTTAATATTAATGAAATTATTAATGAAAATAATAATGAATTTATTAATGAAAATGATTGTGATAATGATTGTGATAATGACAATATTAATGTCCATGATAATGCTTCATCTGATACTTCATCTGATACTTCATCTGATGCTTTATCTGATGATGATGATGATGATGATCTATCTAGTTTTGAAAATCATATCATTTCTCAATTTCATGATGAACCTGAAGAAATTGATTATGATCAGGATGGTGACGATCATATTACAAATGATATTTTACGTCCTTCTAGTTCCGTTTCTAAATCTGATAATTTCTGCTCCAGTTGCAATACTTTACTCGCTCAAGTTGATCAACATATTGAAGAACGTTCTTACCTTAAGCGTGATCTTTCTGCTTTGGCCATTTCTCTTGCTGACGAACAATCCCTTTGCGCAAAAATTCAATCAAGTAAAATATCTTTGGAACAAGAAATTGATGATTGGATAAATGGAATGTTTGAAAAAATTAATCAAATGGTATTTGATGAAGCTAATACTCGTGAAGAATTAGAGCATTTAAATAGAGAAACTAAAGGCAAATTAGAAAATGCTTTGAAATCTTCTGGAAGCAGACAAAATAGATTAAGAGAAATGAAAACATTATTGGTTCATTTGGATTCTACTAAACAAAGACAAGCTGCTCCTCCATTAAATGCTTCTCAATTAAATAGAAATTCGGTTCTTCATAAAAGTTTATCAAATTCATTTTCTAATAATCAAAGATTTAGTAGACTTTTTGGTCATATGTCTCCTAGTATTTTTTCAAGCAAAAATCCTTTTGATGTCATGTTATTTAAAGGCAAACGCATTTATATTGATGGTATAGTTTTTGAAGAATTCCAAGAATACGTGAAATCTCTCATCAACTCTGCTCCACCTACTAGTTCTACACCTACTCATCCATTTATGAAACGTTGCATGAATGAGGATATTCAACCATGCTTATTTGAAGGTAATACGGGATGGAAATCTCCATTTTACAAAAGACGTCTATTAGATGCCATTATGAAAAATCGATGTGAGATACAAACGATACATTCTAGTTTTTCAAATTCGGTTCCAAGCTCGTCAAATACCAGTCAACTTTGTAGTCCAATAGATGCACAAAGTAATTATGATGAATTACCAGTCGCACCAAAACTTAAATGTGGTCTTTGTGGTCATCTTAGAAGTTGTGATTTCCGTATGAGAATTTCTGATTCGGATACTACAACACCACCAGCCACAACAATTACCACATCGTCACGCTTTTCATTCACAGGAAATCCAGAGTGGATTCCACTTGATAGGTTCTGTCGAGATCGAGTCGTTGCAGTATGTGATTTCTACGCATTCCTTTCGCATTTGCGTCAAGGATTATTTTCAAATTCACCGGTATGGGGAATGTATAAACAGTGCCTTAAATATCGTAGAAAGATGTGCATGGCACGTGTTGGTAGCGCGAGTATGTTTGAAGATGAGGATGCTATCAACAATGATTATTTGAGTAAATCTGAGATGGAAGGAATGGTTGTTGTCGTACATTAAAGTTTTTTTTTTCTTCTTTATTAGAATATTGCAATAGACAATATTCATATTTTATCTTCTATTTTTTATATAAAATTTTACATAAGTCACTTCTTTATTATTATGGTGTAAATATATTATGTTTATGGATGTAATTTTACTATGGAATTTACACCATTTTTTATATGGAAGAGATTAGGGAAAACCAAATAAAAGAAATTAAGGCTTTGAGATTCAAATCAAAAAAAATAGTTACTGTAAAACTCTTTCCTTTCATATCATTATTTCAATAGGGAATATAAAATAGAAATTGATTTATTTGATTTGATTTGATTCTCAGAGCATATTTGTAAAAAAAAATAAAAATTAACAATTGAAATAATAATATAAAATGGTTGTCCGGAGTGTTGTATTTAATCAAAATGATACAAAGGTTTTGTTCTTGATTATAAATGCGTATAAATGTGTATGGTTTTTATGTGCCTTAACACTTCTTAACATCTCTTAACATATTCAATATACTCGATATTAGCGCCTTAGCACATCTTAACATATTCAATATACTTGATATTAGCGCCTTAGCACATCTTAACATATTCAATATACTCGATATTAGCGCCTTAGCATATCTTAACATATTCAATACACTCGATATTAGTGCCTTAACACATCTTAACATATTCAATATACTTGATATTAGCGCCTTAGCACATCTTAACATATTCATTATACTCGATATTAGCGCCTTAGCACATCTTAACATATTCAATACACTCGATATTAGCGCCTTAACACATCTTAACATATTCAATACACTCGATATTAGCGCCTTAACATATTCAATATACTCAATATTAATGCATCAAAAACGTAATTTTTTTGGTTCACGCGCGTGTTTTTATTGATACTTTTAGTGTAATAAACATATATATTTTACGCGTTTTGTTTAATGTAATACATTAATTCTGGTCATCAATTGTATTCATTATTCATACCAAAACTTTGATAACCATTTTTATTTTTGCATTTAAATAAAGCGGTGAAACGACACAATGCATATGAATTTTAACGGATTAGAAAATTTGTGTACACGCTCATAGAATTTTATATTATATATATATATAAATATACATATTTGTCAAAATGAATATTCTGTAGCTTTAATTCCGACAATCTGACACGTAAATAAAAAACTGACAAAAAAGGTAAATGGCATAAAGTCATTTACTATACTTACATAAGTAAAAAAAATTCTAGCACAAAAATTGATGTGAATTCTATCACACTAAAAAAGAAATATCAATCGCGAATTTTAAACTACGTAATTTAAGTGCGGAATTCGGTAAAAAAACTTGTAGTACAAAGAGTAGGTTATTCCTCAATAATTTCAGAAATAATTTGGTATAAAAAATTCTTTACTAGTTCTTTACTCATAAAATTATTTTTTTAAAAAAAAAAATTCTTTAATCGTATAAAATTATTTTTTTTAAGAGTGAGACCTGGTCTCAGTTTTTATTGATAACATTTGTATAATTTAATATTACATATCAGTACCTCATTTAGATTGTACTCGTATAAAATTATTTATTACGTTTTAAAATTATAGTATTAAAAAAATAATGTTGGAAAAAAGTAAAATCCTATTCTTTTTGACTTGTCTATTTCCTGTAGTATCAGCAAAGTTATCGGCAAAATTATCACTTTATGATATGTTTAATTTCGAAATAAGGATATACATTCCTTATATAGTTCTCACTGCTGTTCTTTTAATTGCATTTATTCCAACGAGAAAACTTGAAAGGATTAGAATGATAATCTTTCTTATCTTGAACATATTCATAACGTTCGTTTTTCCTCCTCTATTCTTTTATAAAATACAAGGTTTCAACAAGCTTACGATAATTACGATAGCTTTTAGCTGTTCAGTAATAGTATCGATTATAATAACAAGGCTATTTTATATATTCACAGAAAGCATGACAATAATAGTCCCTCTAATCATGTCAACTCTCATAATAGTTATTTTTCCACCTTTATTCTTATATGCAACAGATAATTTTAATAGTGTAACAATAATCTTTTTAGTTTTGTCCGAAATTTTCTATTGTACTATAATTATAGCATTTCTCTCTGTTTGGTCAACTACACCAAATGTTTATTTATTTTATATTTTCGGTATAATATCTACTTCAATAGCGCTGTCAATATTTATTTATGGTCTAGTGTTGTTAATAACATCCGGATCTGATTACTTTTATATTGTAGTTATAGTTGTTAATCTTGTAATAGGATGTTGTTTAGGATATTTAAGTAAATTACCTAGAGCTATAATAGGTTATATTCTAGCTGGAATTGACTTTTATATTTTATTTTATACTTTACAAAATAAGATTGATCCAATTTCACTGTTACTTTTTTGGATAGATTTATGGGCTGTGTTATTTGGTATTTATATTGTTATTGAAACTTTTAGTAAAGTAGAAGGTGATTGTGAGGAAGAAGAACGTCCACAATTTGATGTTGGGAATTATATATGAACTGTTCTCTTTTATTAATTCATGTAATAAATAATCAAAAATAATCAAAATATAGCATACCTACACATAATTAAAATACAATAAAAAGTAACAACAACTTTGAATTAAAAATACTCAGAATTAGAAAAATGGTATTTTTTGTAATAAATATAATTGTAAACAAAACTTAAGTTTGAAACTATAAATATTGTTTATACATCAATATTTTGTAAAGCTGTTAAATACATATTACAATTTCTATAATACTGTAATTATAATTACATAATAAAATTTTTTGAAATTTTAAATAATATCTTAACAATAATCTAATTCAGTATAATGTATACATAGAATTAAAATAAAAAATTCTTATAGGATTTAATGGATGGCAGTAGTTATCAGGATATAATTGTTTAAAAGTCTGAAACAAAAAAAACCTAAATCATAATAAAATTTTTTTAAAACTTTGAATAATAATAATATCTTGATAACCACCTAATCACATTCTATAAACTTCTTTTATTTTAATCGTAAGAAACATCTGTTGAAACCGTGATAAAATTTTTAAAACCTTTAAACAATAATATCTCAATAATCACCTGAAAAGGCTCGATAAACCATTTTTTATTAAATTCTACGGATTATGTAGAATTAAAATCAAACAAATGTTTATTAAATTTAATCAGGTGATTTCCGAGATGTTATTGCTCAAAGTTTAGATAGTTTGCAAATCTTAGTAAATCTTCGAAATTTTATCAGAAAGTTCTGGTTACACGAAATATCGATCCTATTTGTCTTTAAACGGCCTTAGCGTCAGAATTAACGTTGATGCTAACGCTAACGTTAACTAGAGTCGGCAAAACCCTTGAATATAAAGTATAATGGGTTTGTGCTACATTTATATAGACGTAATGCATTGCAGAACTGCAGCTTTTCTTTGTAAAATTGATGCATCCGGAGTTGCAACCCGAAAGTCTTCCTTCTACCAGACGATTCAATAATAAAATTCTTAACAACAGAAGAAATCCTTGATTTACACACAATTCTGATGCCAGAAAGATCATGTAAATTATCATACTAATAATATTTTTACATACGTAATACAAACTTATTAACATAGTCAATTTTTATATAGCATTATCAGATTACTCAAAGGAGTTAGAAAAGAATCTGAAAGATTCGGCTATAAAACGTTTTGATTATACGGAATTTAGTAAACTCAAAAAAATTGGACACGGTGGATATGCAATTGTGTATTCGTCTACTTTTCAGGGAGAAAAGTATGCACTGAAAAACCTAAACAATAACTTATTGCTTGATTATAAGCAATTCAAACAATTCATGCGTGAGGTAATGTGCTCACTATTTGGTATCTAATCCTTAACAATCAAATTTATTGATATATGTGTTATAATATAATACTATACATAGCTTAAACTTTTATATACGACTGATCATCCCAATGTTATTAAATTTTATGTTCAAGAGGTATAATCAAAGTGCAATTTTTTTAATTGAACCCATGTTTGAATCATTAACCATGTCCTTATTTTGCTTAATAATTTTAGATTCACGGACGAATCATTTCATGCTTGTGCTACAATATGCAAATGGCGGTAACCTACGAGATTATTTAAAAACAAAACGAGATAATTATCGTTATAGAATTTCATGGGTTGAACTCATCAGAATTGCAATGGAAATTACTCTTGGATTGAAGTATTTGCACGAAAATGACATTATCCATCGGGATCTAGTAAATTTTAATTTTTAAAATATTTTAATTCTTACTATATAACTTAAATATAATTTTAATTAATATCAATTTTTAGTATTCCAAGAATATTTTGCTAGATAATGGTAAGGCCTTGATTGCAGACTTTGGAATATCAAAACGACTAGATGATACTGCAACTACGAGCTCAGCTATAATGGGCGTACCAGCTTACATCGACCCACGGTGCCTTAACCCTCAAATCAAACGTGATAAGAAATCCGATATTTATAGCCTAGGTGTATTACTTTGGGAACTTATGAGCGGAATTCCACCTCCTTCATATCCACCCAATTTTTTTATGACCCTAAATGAATATATTTCTCAAACTAAATAGAAATATATTGACGATATTTCTCTAAATAAAGAGAATGATGTTACACTCTCAGATTATGCGATATTTATATCAAGTGCTGCTCATCAGTCTGCTCATCTGAACTTTGCCAGCGTCCAGAACTAGACGAAATTTCAAAAAAACTTGAAAATTTATCGAAGACAATTATTGAATTGATTATAAATATTACAAATTGCATTAATATAAATAGTCTGCAAACTGCACAGTCAATATCAAATTATTTAGAGCGATTAGACTCTTCTAATGATATATCCGGAAATATAGACATGGACAAGCATCATGAAGGTGAGCTGAAAATGTTATTGACACCTAGTTTTATAATTTATTATTTCATTCTATTCAACATAAAACATTCCTATTTAGATAATCCAAATGAATCAAATTATCATAACCTTGGTAAAATATTTATTTATCCTTAATGGTTTAGTTATTTGTAATTTATTAAAAATTTTCTCTTTACTTAGATAATCAAGATGGTTCTGAAAATAATTTAGACGAATCCGATGAAATATCTACCGGATTGAGTAATGATTCCGAGGGAGTAATACATATACCAACCAAAATCATTGACGAATTATGGAATTTATTTACTATATACTTCTTAAATACGGGACTTTTGTGGGTATTTCAACCACACACACGTAACATAACTGGATGCGAACGTGGGGGGATCTGGGTTTTTATACAAATTCTAATTAATTTATCATATGATTTGTATTACATTGGCTTCTTTTTTTTTTTTACCAAAAAAAGCATTTATCATATGATTTGTATTACATTGACTTTTTTGTTTACCAAAAAAAGCTGCATGCATAATTTAAGATTTATACATACGTAGTACCAATCCCTTGGTTATATTAAGTAATTTGTATACGTATTAACTTTAATTCTAATAGCGGTAGCGAAATATAACGAATTTATGGATGTATGTAAAATATATAGAAAATATGTAACATATAATTAATAAAGTAAAGATTTTAGCTACGTATGTATAACATATACTAACCCTAACAAGAAAAAATTATATTCGAACTCACCCTAACCCTAATTATTAAAAAGGTATACAGTATGTTATAAGTTTTGCTAACGATACATATTTTCGTAATTTTTTTTTAGCTTACATCTATACAAACAGTTGTATACATTGCTTACAATAGAAATGGTGATTTTTGATTTAAATTAATTTAAAGCATGATTTAAATAATTTATTTATGCCTCACGGAAGTCCTTATAAAAAATATTCGATCACGATTTATAAAATTACTGGGATGAATAAGTATAGTCGAAAGACGCCTCGTCAAATTTGTATCCACTGTGAATAAGATACCATCGACATAATTGACATAATTGATCATTTAAAATGTAAAAATCTTTCAAAGATATAAAGGATTCATTAGATTTTACTACTTAAAAGATCGATGCAATATGTAATATTCTGATTTGAAGTTTTTTTATTTGACTGGCATTACCTTTACTGTTATTGAGATCCCATATTGGTTCGAATTTATGAAAATCGTACAACTATCATATCTTAACCCTAGTCAACAAAAGGTATACATAAGTTCGTGCCATAACGATAATAAAAATCAAATGATTTAAATCAAGTGTAATTTTAAATCACAAAATTTGATTTAAATTATGATTGTTACCATCCCTACTTACAACTTTATACAATACATATTTCTGTAATACCCATATATACTTGGGGGCATCGTAACTAGAGCCTGGATCCAGTTATCCGCTGGATGCAAATTTAATAGCGATAGTAAAATCCGTCGGATATCCGTTAAATTTAATATGAAAACGGATGACCGGATCCAAGCACTAATCGTAACATTAATAATAGAATTCAGTATATTTAAACAAGGATTTATTTAAACATAAGAAAATACCACCATCACGGCATAAAAAAGTAATCATCATATAAATTTTAGAAATGAAATTCAAGTACTGTAAACTTTTCTGCAATAAGATGAAATCGCGTTAATATTATATTTTTTTGCCATTTCAAGGTTTTCCAGATTTCAACGAGCATTCAATGAAATGCATATGGACAATACATGTACTTAAGTTATACAGTATGATTAATTCTTATATTCAAAGTTGTAACTTTATGCATGCAATATTTTTCAACAGATAAATTTTTATTATAAACCTCTTTTACACGCTCGCCAGAAGGGTTATCAAATAATGGAGAGTATTGTGTTATGTACATAAGTGCCTTTGTTCAATGATTTAATAAGCTCATCACCAAAGGCTGGATTGCACCGATATTTTCATTGCAATTTCATTAACTTGTGACGAAAATTTTGATATTTAGTTAACCTGAATTATATACTAAAAGAATACGGGTTTCTTACCATCAATTTTTCCTTCTGCTTTTTCGATAAATGACAACTAGTTCAGAATCACAACTAATTATTTGGCTAGCTAATGGATTAACCCATGTTAGCTTTGAGATAGATATCCAAAATTTTAACTAGTCCTTATTGTAGTTTGATGTGCCGTTCTTTGCATCCTAATAAAAATAATATAAATTTGTGAAGTGAATATAATTTGCCAACAATGAGTTTCTTCCTCAATATCTTATGATTAATTTCTTTTATGCTGAATGGTTTCTCTTTATTCTGTAAATATAATATTATGTTATAACCCGTTTTTTTTTAAAATATTCATCTCCCGTCTTAGAATGTGCCATTTTTAAAAACACAAATTTGATGTAAATTATAAATGCTATCAAAGCGACATCGAATTAAAGTGAATATTCGATAAATTAGAAATCAATGATGCATCAAAGATAATATAGATCTAACTCGCGTCTTAAGAATGTTACAAAGTCATCATCCGGTACAATAACCATATAAAAGCAAGCCATTTGATCTATAACATAAATCTTCTTCACATCTTCCATGAAAGTCTTATCGGCAGCCAATAGGAACTTAAACTAATTGTTGCTCTACAATCCCTCTTAATTCGTCTTTACTTATTCGTCTTTACTTATTTAGTTCTCATAAAATTTAAAAAATGGCTTGGCAATCCGGCTTTTAATTTTTTCCAAAAATATATGTAAAGATCATGAAAAAGCCCACCCAGATAGTTAATGTAGTCAAAATTTTTTAAAGTTTGCAAATTTTGACTCAACCGGCTAGTTTATTAAATT